CCAAACAGATTGATTTGATATAAATTCAATTATTATTACCCAAAAGAAACAAGTGCCGAATTAATTGTACGTGCTTACTGGGCCTGATCCTGATGTGCATTTGGGTTGGGTATACTGATCGAWTTGGAGTCGTACAGATTCAAACAAGTTGAGAAAATGGTCCCCCTCGATTTTGCAATGGAATCTGTTTCCTCCCTTATCCAAAGACGGGAATTATATATAGCCCAGTAGTTGTATTCAGATATGATGATAAAAGGTAGGCACATCATGTGAGGCCTTCTTCATCGTAACCTACTATTCAAACTTCAATAGCTAAAGCCTCAAAAAAGAGGCGCTCTCTCTCTCTCTCTCTCATATTTTGAAAGGTGTTGAATGGTGAGAGATTTGCAAATATATTATTTCTCCTTCATGAGTAGAGTAGAGTAGTCGAGAGCAGCAGTAGTATTAGGTTCATCTGTTATGTTGGGTGGTTCATGGTTGAAAAACAAGTGTGGAGTGTGGAGATTTGCAACTTCAATTTAATAAACCATTTGGGTGAGGTAGGACAAGCAGTTAAATTTAACGCCGCGCCCACATCATCTCCCAACTTCAATTTAATAAACCATATATATAAATCCTGTTTATTTTTTAATTAAAAAAATTTTGTGTCCAGAAACCAAATCAAGAAATCTAGGATGCATCGATCGCCCATGAAACCTTGTTTCATACATTATTAACTAGCTAGTAAAGAGAGGTTGATTAAACACATATCATCACCTTAACTCAATTTAATTAATAGATTGGATTAGCTAGCTGCAGGTTAGCAGCAGCAACAGCAGCAAATATATATGAGAATTTTAAAATCCAGCTGCAGCATGCAGGATGAGTACCCAGACTGTAAAATGTATATATATATATATATATATATATATATATATATATATATATAATACAAAGAGAGAATAGACTCTTCTTCTTTTTCTTCTTCGTCTTCTTCCATNATTTTAAAATCCAGCTGCAGCATGCAGGATGAGTACCCAGACTGTAAAATGTATATATATATATATATATATATATATATATATATATATATATATAATACAAAGAGAGAATAGACTCTTCTTCTTTTTCTTCTTCGTCTTCTTCCATACAGATAACAGATAATTAATGTGGTGCAGGTGCAGATACATGCAATAGCTAGGGGGGGTTGACGAGTCAACTCATACTATCCCCAATTCATCAGGGCACCCACCTTATAAGTAGTGTATGTAATAAACATCACCCACAAAGCGCCTGCCTGTTCTTTTTTGGGTGTTTATATATCCATTGCCAATATTAATACATGCATGCTTGATTCCCTTGTCTTTCACTTTTGCTTTGTATTCACACCAACTCTCATTAATTACATGATTCTACGTACATGCATCCAACTTACGTTTAACCTGGATCGAACAAGGAACAGAGTATCAAAGTTTCCAATAACCTAATTGGTTTGTCCATTCAAACCTGATGGAGGACTCAGGACTGTTTTTCTTGTTCATGGTAATTAGTTTGGTCTAGCTTTCCCTCTTAATCGATCTCACACATGAATTACCCTTTATTAATGATTCAACATTCAAGATCATCTCACTCATTAATTGCTAATGGCATATGTAGTGGGCCGGGTCAAACTCAGGACAGCCTTGGCCCTTGGTAAGTGGTTGGTTCCCCCCGTCCATCAATGTCAAATTAAATTATCTTATGGGAGTTTGATTGTCCTATGTTGAAAGTTTTATTGCAGCAAGAAGGGGTCCTGTGTCCATATAAACCATGCATCAAGTTTAAAAAACGAAAGCAGTGGCACAATCTCTATCACTCTATGGCTTGTATTGGTAAATCTTGTTAATGAATCAAATGATTGATGCTGGGATCATTTTGGAGACTAATTCTTTCTTAGCAGTTTCGATATTCCAGTGTTTAGTTTTGTTACGTAAATAAATGTTTTCAGGAGACAAAGACCTTTATGATTGTCGATTGATTTGATTTAGGGTGGTGGTTTCTCTTTCTCTTGTGGCTTTAATTTTTTTTGCTGATGGTTTTCATGGTTGTTTCTCTATGCATGATGCATGGTTTCAGGTTTTGTTAATTTTTTCGTAACAGCATAAAAACAAATATAAAACTTAGGATGAAAACTGTTACCAAAGAATTCTTTGGTTAGGCGCATGCATGAAGAACTATAAAGTGGGAGAGGAATATAAATATATATTAATGAATGGTGAAGATCATTTGTACAGACAACAACAAGGTCTGACTAATGAGGTAGGAATGCAGGATACATCATATCGTCCTCTGATCTCTACCCTTATCACCACTTGCATCTTGGGGGACAGCACTGATTAGAATTTCTTCTGGGACTGGGATATGGTGGTCAGACCGACCGACCGTCCATCCTTCATTCATCAGGCTTCAGTCAGTGCAATATTCATTTGAACACTTTTACAGCTACGCATTGGGTATATCTTCGTTTTTCTGTACTTTATTTCATGAAAAGATATTCCCGATCGAAAGCTATAAAGGCTGTTCGAACGAGCTTTTCACTGACTGAATCCGGTTTCGATTTATGCATGCTTCTTCCAAGTTCCAACCACTGTGTTCACAAAGTCTGATGAATACCCCTTACCCCCTCCATCACGACACACAATGTAGCGTAGGACTTTGTCTCCATCCATCCTTCATGCGCATCTACATTAATTCATAATTAAATACCCCATCTCTACCAAACATTAATTCAACTAATCAACTTCTATATATACGATATAGAAGGATGCATAGGATGGCATGGATGATGGATCAACTCAACTCAACGGTGGGTGCTGGTATACTTTATGCTTGTTTGTATTAGCAAGAAATTAAACAATATTTCTTTAACAAAAAAGACGGTAATTAAACAGCAAACTAATTAACTCCATTTTTATTTTTATTTATTACAACTCACACTCACTGAAATTCATCTGATTCCACGACCTCACCCAGTCATAAATCACTATATATCATCCCATCTTGTGGTGAGGATCATTCCGTTGGCTACGTTACGTTTGGCTTTGTTCGATCGCCCACAGTTTCGACTTTCGAGCTTTGGGCACACGACAATAACAGAAAATAGCAAATTAAAACAAAAAACAAAGAAATGTAAAAGAAATTAAAAAAAGAAAAGAAAAAGACAATAAAACTATTTTTCTTTAATCTGTTCTCTATTTTACTTTTATATTTAGATTTTTTTATTTCAGTTACCCTCCTTATTCTTATTTTAATTTTTCTATTACTTTTTATTTTAATTTTGAAATACAGAGGGGGTGTCTTAGTAATGACCTTAATATTTTCTACTTGATATTCCATATCCATGACATAAATAAATAAGAAAATAAACCAATTCCCCCAATCGAATCTCCCATGGCCATAAGTAGGGGTGTCAATTGGACTGGATTTGGTCCAATCCAGTCCAGTCCAATGTGAGTCCATTACAAATGGACTTGGTCCAATCCAGTCCAATGACCATTTTGGACCAGTCCAGGGACTGCCCAATCTGTTTAAATTCCTATTAATTTAGATTGATTTCAACTCAAATCTAGTTTATTGACACCTATGTTCTTATCTTCTATTGATGGATTAGATATTGACTCAATCCAATATAAATTCATTATGGATGGATCGGGTCTAATCCAATATGTCATATTGATCCGTCCAATTCATCCAAATTTAATGTCTTATTGATCCGTCCAATCCGTTCAAATAGATTTTGATTTGGATGAAATCCAACCCAAAACCGGTACATTGACACACCTAACCGTAAAGGATGGAGATGTTATATAAGAAAATTTGCATAAAAATTAATGCAAAAGGCCAGAACTAGATGCTTAGCTTGTGAACTGAATAAAGATTAAAAGATGGGAAAAGGGAAAGTTGGGATGGGAAACCTTAAGCAAAATGCTCTCCAACGTGTGAAAGAGGACTGCTGCAGCAACACAACACAATGAGGCAATTTGGTCGGTGGATTGTTATAAAAGCTTATGTTGTTTTAACAATAATGTCACATCCCTCCTCTCTCTCTCTCTCTCCTTCCCAAATCCCTATGACCCAACAAACAAACCATTCACCCTCCTTTTTCTTTTCTCTTTTTCAATTTTGCATCGCAACGGCTTGTTTGTTTGCAAAGTAGCTATTTTATAGACATCGGATACCCCCACCACCACCCCATCAGCCATCAATCGTTCTATCTCCAACAGGAGTACGAGAGACATCATTACCCCAAAAGCAATCCCCAATTATATTTGATCAGAGAGATTCAGAGTTCATTCTTTTTCTTTTTCTTTTTCTTCTTCTTCTTATCTTCATGTTGTGATTTGTGAGTAAGCGATCTGACCCGACTTTACCGCAGTGAAGAGTCAGTGACTCTATTCCACATGTCTTTTCCTCTGGTTCAACAAGTGGTTTTTTCAGTGGACGGTGATCCAAACGGGTCCATGTGTTGCCGACTGCGTTTTGTCGGATTATTTCCAATTTCCCATGCCTTCCACCTTTTTCTTTCTTCTTATCCTTATTATTATCTGTTAAATAAAATTATTTTGTTATTTATATAAAGCCACTTTGAACTAAATTGACCCAAATACCCCCCCCCATAACAGGAGAAATACCATTTCTCACAAAATAAATGACGAAAGGGTAACTTGTGGAAACTTTACCTGGACAAAATTGACTTTCCCTTTTCATAYACCAGAAGCAGCTAATAAACAACATAAGTGAACTCTTGAGAATAATTAATGGACGTCTGTCTCCCTGGTGCCAGCCAAAGATGTGGAAAATTAGGGCAGGAATAGGCTGAGGTTAACGCAGTCATTTTCCCCCACTAAAACATAGAATGCATGAATTCAAAGAATAAAAATAAATAAATTCCAAATCATCTCACCTATCACCCCCAAAAAAGTCGCAAAAGCAGATTCTTAAAACCACGTGGCATTCAGCCCATAACATACATACTCCACAAACTCATCGTAGAAAAATGCGGCTTCTCCTGACGTCAGCCGGGCATCTAGATCTTACTGCTGCGTGCCGAGAGAGAGAGAGAGAGGCTTCCCTCTCCTCAGTTCCACTCTCTCAGCCAGCAAACTCCAAAAAGCAGGGCTTAGACTCAGTAACTGAGAGAGAAAAAGAAAACAAAACAATCAGAGGAGAAGAAGAAGCACAATTAACAGCAATGAAAGTTCCTTGTCCCAATCTTTTTTTGTTTATTTTTTTGACTCTGCCTTCCATAATTCACCCGTCAAGAGGGGTGCCCAGAATTCAAAACTTGAGCACGGATGCTCACAGAAGAATTCTACACCAGCCCTTGTTTCCGGTCGACTCCACTCCTCCACCGGACGAAGAGCCCCCGCCTCCACCTCCAGGAGGCTCGGCTTTCCCTAACCCAGATGAGCCCTTCTTCCCAGAGGTACCCACTGGTCCAACCCCGGATCAGACCCAGACTACCAATACAGCTCCTCCTTCCAATAACATCTCCGGCCCCGTTGCAACTGCAGCAACACAGCAAGCCAGCCCAACAAAGAAGGTTGCTATTGCAATTTCTGTTGGAATTGCCACCTTGGGTATGCTCTCCGCATTGGTATTCTTCCTGTACCGACACCGGGCAAAACACCCTGTTGAATCTCGGAAGCTTGTCCGAGGGAATTCCCGACCGTTTCTACAAGAATCAACAGCCTCTGCTTCAGACTTTCTCTACCTCGGGACTGTGGAGCCTTCGAATGGGAGAGGACGCAATCAGCCCAATGGAGCAAGCTCTTCCCCTAACAACAAGCTAATCTCGATCCATCAGTCGGAGCTGCATCGTCCAAGCCCCGACCTTCAGCCACTCCCGCCGCTGGCCAGGTCTCCAAGGAGGACTTCACCCCCTGCTGCCATGTCATCCGATGAGGATACATATTATACTCCCCAGGGCTCATCAGTTGGGAACGGTGGAAGTCCTTGCACATCTGTTACACGTCAAATTCTTCCCACAACCACCACTTTGGCGATGAATGCCAAAAGCCTCACCAGTGCCAGTAGTTCTACTCCTCATTCTCGGAGGTCTTCTCCCAAATCACGTCTTTCAATGTCTTCTCCTGATGACAAACATACCATCGTACCATCAATGCCACCTGCACTAGCACCTCTTCCTCCTCCACCACCCCCACCCCCACCGCCGTTGCCACCGCCACCACAAAAGTACCAAGTTCAAGATGGTCAACCTAAAACACCATCGCCTCCCAAGCGGAGGGCGAAGTTTCCATCTCCACCTTCTCCGCCACAAAATTTGGTTCGTCCTCAGTCAATCAACGATCCATCACCAATGTCATCTAAAATACAATTTCCACCTCCACCTCCACCTCCACCCCCGCCACCGCCTCCACCACCAGCAGTGCTTAGGAAAGGAAGACCTACAGAAACAAAGGTATCGGCGTCGATTCCCGTTCAGACATTGTCTRGGCCTCAACCTAAGTTGCCTATTCCAAAGGTTGTTACTGAGACAAAAATAGCAGTACCAAATGCAGAAAGTACTCAAGGTGGTTGTTCTTCCGAGCAACTCAATGCAGGCAATGATATAGATGGGGCAAAGCCCAGGTTGAAGCCATTGCACTGGGACAAAGTACGGGCAAGTTCAGATCGAGCCATGGTGTGGGACCAATTAAAGTCAAGTTCATTTCAGTAAGTAGCATGTTAATAGACTTGATTACTCTGTGCTGTTCCCCTGTTGTATGGTTTTTAATCTTAATCATCATGTCACTTGTTTACAGATTAAATGAAAACATGATTGAGACTCTTTTTGGCTGCAATTCAGCAAATTCGGTTCAGAAAGAAGCGACTAGAAGAAGTGTGCTCCCTCCCGTCGAACAGGAGAACAGGGTTTTGGACCCAAAGAAGTCACAGAATATAGCTATACTTCTGAGAGCATTAAACGTAACAAGAGATGAGGTCTCTGAGGCACTCTTAGATGGTATGTTGCCTGGTCTTCTCCCATGTCTGCCCAGTGATACGGGCCTTAATTGTAGTCTATGATTCATCCATAAAAGAAAGACATGGATATATTTCCTATATGGTAGTTATACATATGGCTTAAGACAATTACTAGTTTGTAATAGAGAGMGAGAGAGACTCACACTATTCCACTACTACTAGAACTCATAGTCCCATAGAAGTAGACATCTTAGGACACATGATATCTTCTGCAAAGCATAGAAAACTGTCCTCTATAGGACATCTGCAACAAGCAATGCCTAGGGGCTGGGCCAAGATAATACAACTCATAACACATCATTCTAAATCAATCAGGTTATTAGTTTCTTTAATCAATCCCAAACTTCAGGCACATAAGTGGAAGTGACATCAAAGATGGTTGCAATGAATTTTAACTTACAATCACTTGCTTAAGTTATCTGCATTGACAATCCTAATTACAAGTGCAATAGATATCCCAAATTACATCACCATGATTACCCAACTTAAACAGCCACAACTATGTTGGTGCTTTAACATTCGAGAAGTCTCTAGATGCATAAGTTGTGTGCTTATTGAGCCCCTGTCATTCATATAAACATGTACTTAGTCATCAAGAAAAGATAGGTTAACTAAGAAAATAGAGAGAACCCAAAGAACCATAACATGTCACCACAAGCTACTGAAGGATTTTCTCCACAAACAACTGAAAATGGATTGTTTACTATAATTCAAAGAATAGCCTCCACATTTTTTACTGCGCTTCTTATTTGTTCATAACAATTACTCTTCATCAATGTTCATTTTTAATCAGTTCTCTTACCTGGTAAGTGATTGTGTTCCAAAGAAACACTTATGGTGAACTTGCCTCTTCTCAGTTTTTGTTATCCAGATTTTGCAATAGATCTGCATTTTGTTTATGCAGGAAATGTTTGATTGGTATCATTTCCTATGCACTTGTTGTGTAAAAGTGAAACAAATCAATCTGCCTTCATTTTATATTTTTTGTGGACATCATTTATATGAAAGGTAAGTCCCATCATTAATTAATGGTGCTATTATGTTAGTAAGCAGTATAGATCTGTGGTATGTGAACTACAAAAATCAAGTATTAATATCAACGGGTATATTACAAACAGGATTCTTGCTTGTTGAAGAATCCTTTCAAAGTAGACAAAAAATGTAATTTATGTTATGGTGTAACAGGTAACCCTGATGGTTTGGGTGTTGAGCTTTTGGAAACTCTGGTAAAGATGGCCCCAACCAAGGAAGAAGAACTAAAACTGAGGAACTACAATGGTGACATATCAAAACTAGGATCTGCAGAGCGATTTCTCAAGACGGTGCTGGATATACCATTTGCTTTTAAAAGAGTTGATGCAATGTTGTACAGGGCCAATTTTGAGGCAGAAGTAAAATACTTGAGAAAGTCCTTTGAAACCTTAGAGGTATTGTTGCCTGAAAACTCCTAAATCATTTCTACTCGGTATTACTCTTGAGTAACAACGGTCATTCATGAAATGGAATTCATTGTTGTGACACTTTGACAGGCAGCATGTGCAGAGTTGAAGAACAGCCGGCTATTCCTCAAACTTCTGGAAGCAGTTCTCAAAACAGGGAACCGGATGAATGTTGGCACCAACCGTGGTGATGCTAGAGCTTTTAAGCTGGATACACTATTGAAACTAGTAGATGTAAAAGGTATTGATGGAAAGACAACATTGCTCCACTTTGTAGTGCAGGAGATTATTAGGTCAGAAGGTTCAGGTTCTGACCCCGCAGTGGAGAACCCTCCTACTAAGATGTCCCCAAAAGTAAAGGATGAGGATTTCCGGAAGCAAGGTTTACAGGTTGTGGCTGGACTGAGCAGAGAACTTGGGAACGTGAAAAAGGCAGCGGGAATGGACTCAGATGTCCTAAGCAGCTATGTATCAAAACTTGAAATGGGGCTTGAAAAAGTCAGGTCTGTTTTGCAATATGAGAAATCAAATACGCAGGGGAACTTCTTTGAAGCAATGAAACTATTCCTCAAGGAGGCTGAAGAGGAGATCATTAGAGTCAGAAGTGACGAAAGAAAGGTGCTATGCCTTGTAAAAGAGGTGACGGAATACTTTCATGGAGACACAGCAAGGGAAGAAGCCCATCCTTTCAGAATTTTTGTGATTGTAAGAGATTTCCTCTCTGTGTTGGACCAAGTTTGTAAAGAAGTTGGACAGATGCAGGAGAGGACAATGGTGGGTTCTGCCAGATCATTTCGGATATCTTCTAGTGCTTCATTACYAGTTCTTAACAGATACAATACTAGACAAGATGGAAGTTCAGATGAAGATAGCTCGTCACCTTAACACGTGCACCCTGTGAAGAAATGGCATTCAGAAAGGAACCAATTAAACAGTGACCCTATCGTTGCACATCATTTTTTTTTTGGTGGGGAAGCTGGCTATGTAGAGTGATGATAAATTCCCCCACAAAATGGACAGGATCCTCTTAAGTTATAGGTGGTGCTTCCAAAAGGGAAAAGAAAAACAAACTGCATGGAAACTAAAGAAGCATAACGTTTGCAGACTGGAGTCTGGAGACCTAAGAATCCATTAATAGAAATTGAAGTTAACTCAGATGTCACATCAAAATCCTACACCCAACAGGAAGCTCTACGAGATACATGAAACTAGTCGGGACTGTTTCACATTTTATCGTCAAGTATGAACTACTAGAGTAACAATGACACAGTTAAAGTTAAAGATATAATAATCTTTCAGCCAATTTATTTAGGAAAAGGGGAATGTTCCTTGAATTTTGGGATCACTTATTTTTTGTGGTTCAATGTAGTTGTTGAAATAATTCATTGTGAGTAGACTAGCTGTTGGTTAGCTGTTATTTCGTGGAGGGATTTTATTGGTATATCGTGCAAGGGATGAATACTTCTCCCTCTCTTCTTTGTATATTGTTGAACCAATAAATCTATCTTCCAACAGTCATGGAGAAAAATCGTTTCAAAGCGCTTTACTCTTTTTCTGTTGCTTTCTTTTTGAACATTTATTTTCAATTAAAGGCAGCAATTTGGTAGCAAAGCTCCACCATCATGCAGTTCCTACTGTGAATCGTATTCCACCCGAGTAAGAAAAAGAGGTTGCTACACAGTTAGCAGGAAAATTTAGATGGATGGAAATTACACTAAATTACAGTCCTCACCATCTTCACTTTATATCTCTAGCCTGTGATCGCAGAGAACAGAAGCCTAATGTATCTAAGTGGTTTTTTTTTTTCAATGAAGTCTGAGATCAAAATTAGAAAAACCCCACTTTCCAATCAATGACTTTTGGGATCGATTTGAGTCCCCATTAGTTCTCAGATGTGAATATCGGAAGGGAAATTKGCATCTTTGAAATTACGATTATTTCGTATTTTGATTTTGTTTGAGAACCACTTTACTCTTTTGCTGATGGAATGTATGGATCCATTTAAGAAAATAGATTTGATCAAGCTAAAAAGAATACACTGATTGTTTTGTCCAGTCGTATAAACCACTGAAACTGAAATCGCTTTGTGTGGTCAAGACTAAAGATTCGTGGGAATTCGCATCCCAAAATCCGATTAGCGGTCGGGCCCTTCTTCTCCACCAGGAGGACATGATATGGTTGCAATCATCAGTTGAAGCTACTTTTGGCCAAAGTAATTTCTTAACTTTTTATTACTCGTGAAGTTAAAAATGTCCTAAACGATGTTTCTCTCTCTCTCTCTCTCACACACACACAACACACGCATGACATTTATCCCACTTCCGTAAATAAAGATCAAAGTGAGAATTCCGTAAAATGATTCTTTGGCTCTTTAATTGCTCCATTTGCAAGGAGTACAAATACAAATACGTAGAGCGCAAAATCTTCTATTTTATATTATTTTGTATGTATTTATACAGTACATATTTATATTTGTACTCTTCTTACAAAACAAAAAAAAAAAAAAACAGAGGTTTTGACAAATTCTTTTATACAAGTTTAGGCCGTAGAATTCAAGGCAAAACTGGAAACTAGACCGGTAGGTCCATTATCTCAGGTAGAGACAGCATATTCGAGTGAAAAGAATTGGCCTCCACCGAATCTCTTTGTAGTTAGAATTTTCCTCACTAAAATTTTCCACTTAATTTCATCTTTCTTGCTGTGTGTCTGCAATCTCTCCTTGAAGTTCCTGCAATGGCAGAAAGCTCTTGTTTTAGTAACAATTTTAACTAAAGTGACTGGTGATTATAAAGTTAGAAGTGCATTAATTAGTCTCAGAAAGTAAGAGACATTTGCTTAAAGAGGAAAAGAAGAAGGAAAGAAAAGGATAGGAACAACCAGATGATTGATCCATTGAAGCCATAAGAAAGCATAATAGAAGAAGGGAAAAGTTGATAGGGAGAACACCTGCACAAGGGAACCCTGCACTCATCGGAGTTGGCACAGAGGCGGGAGTGAAGTTCGAGGAGCTGCCACATTCTCTTGCAATGGATGCAACCCCCTGGAACTCTCAACTTGCAAGCAGCAAAGTGACGGACGAGCAACTCAAGCCCCTTGCATGCTGAAAACGTACAGGGTGGCTGGTCCCCCTTGAGAACTTTGTCATGGGGCCCAATTGTTCTACATCCATCTCTGCATATGTGAACAAGGGCTTCCATTGCCTCGTATAGTTGTAAATAGATCTTCTCCTCTTCAACCTTTTTCATCCTTTCTTGCTTTCTCTGCAACAAAAACTAAGCATACTGAGAGGTTGGATAAAAGGGTTGGGAGCCCAACTTTCACTGTTATCATTTACCAGCCACGACCATTGATTCTATATATATCCATTACTCTGATGAGCTACCATGAGAAAGAAATCTCACCGAAGCAGCTTCAACCACTGATTCTATAATTTCCCTTTCTAGATTTGGATGACTTTGCTTCATTGCCTTCCATCCTTCGGTGTAAATAACAGCCTTGAAGTTCTTCAAGATCATACGATGACACGCGATACTGAGACGAGGAGCGTCACATAATAGTGCAAGCTGGAACACATCTACTACGTTCTCTGTAGCGAGTAAACTCCTCTCTAGTTGCAGCTCACATGCTCGCTTCAATTGGGGAACCACATATGCGTGTGACAGCACCAACAAATGCAGTACAAATTCATTCATTTCTTCTTCCTCGTAACTACAAGCAGAAAATATCAATGTGAAGAGCAGAAATTATCACTCGAAATCGTGAGTATATTAATTTCTAGTCATCTGGCCGGGTTGCTGGAAGACATTATATACCAGGATGAGTACAGGAATCGAATGAACACTTGTACTGCTTTGTGGGGGACACCATGAATGGAAATTGATCGCTGACGACCACGGCCTTTGGTATGCCTTAATATGTTCCTCAGCACAGGAGAAGCCATACCCTGTTGGCAGATCGATGATGAAATGTCGCCAGTGCTATAACAAGGAAAACATTGGATGAAAAGAAACAGGAACAGTACGTAGTTTGTTAATGTAGAAAGAGAACTCACGAGAACGTCGGCATGTGCACAAATATCACCACCATCATCTGTACTAATACGCACATCAGCTCTATAGCCTTCATGGAAGAGGCGATCCCACATGTTTCTGGTGCAAGTAGTAACAAGGCTGTATCCCCTCACCGGTGATCCATCTTTATTCAGAACCTTCTCTTTCTGGTCATAGCTAGTTGTCGGTAGCCCAGTAAATGGAGGTGCCGCCGGCGCCGAGGAGACCTTCTCTATGACTTGGCAATCCATCTTTGTGTTCTTTATCTGTTTGTTTATTKTTGGATCTGCAGCCTGCTGCACATTACATTACAGTATTAATGTTACACAATACACATCGTTCGGTTTGACTAAAGGATATGATATGGTCAGCTGCCACGTGACGTGATGAATATCATAATAAAGATTGATAGCGTTGATTTGGATTTTCGATCCAACGGTTGCATGTCATGCCAATGCCATTAATCATTATGGAAAATTGAGGCGGAGTGGATTCGGGTTCGGGTCCAACAACCTTCTTTCTCGATATGCTACAAACAAAGTCACACGGGATGGGTTACGAAGCAAACCCAATTTCCTGCCCACTACTCACTACCCACACTTACTGTAGGTAGGGCGAGGGGGTCTAAAACTGGAGTAGGAAATCTGGGTTCGTTACGAAGCCGAATCAAGAACAAAAATTATACGGGTCTATGACGGTTCATGACGTGTTCACTCTTGATTGGCTAGTTTGTAGCAGATCCCGACCCGTCAACCTCTCGTCACCAACGTGGTCCTCAGTTCTTTTTATGCTCCTTTTTCTTTCCTAATTTCGTGAATTATCACGTGCGTTGGATTGGCATCTTGAGTTTGGATTGACAGGACAGACTTTAGACCCAGACTCCATTCCTGATCCACAAGCCCAGACATGCATGATTGATCTAGAATTACTGATCAACACGGAGAACGCTATGTTCTACCAATCGCCAGTGATAACAGATCCCAATCCAACCGTCAGTACATATGCTTGGTTCATTTTCACACCATTGGACACATTCAAATTAAGGCAATTTCTATGATGCCGGAAGAACTTTGACAAGTCAAAAATAAAAAAGAGACCATGCTTTTGGTTTGGGAATGGGAAGCTTAAAGATGAAGATCAGGGAATCAAAAATTAAAAAAAAAAAAAAGGGAGACAGAAGAGAAGTGAAAGAAACTACAAACCCTCGTGCTTTGTTGTTGTGTCTAATTCAAATGAAACCTGAAAGAAGCTTCAAGAGAATCACCTCCCTTCTTTCGATCCTACGATCAGTGAATCTATAAGGCTAGAAAAAAAGAAATCCTAAAACCCCTTACCGGCCTCAAAGAACCCAAACCTCTAATCCTCCCTTTCACAGTGTGAAAGGAGGAAAAGAAATGGGGCGAGTCTCAGAGGCTGGAAGCGGTTGTGCCCAGGTGAAGATGATGATGATGATGATTGCGTGGTTTTAAGTCGAACAAAGAAAAGCAAAGACCCAGAAGGAGAGAGATGGATGAGAAGAAGATTAGTGGACGATAATGGACGAAGGGTACGAAATTAATTAAAAGCCTTTTATTTCCAGTTCCGTAGGCGCAGAYATCGGACGAAACCGAAACGTGTAATTGTAGATAGACCGGTATATCGCTCCGTCTCTGTTCATCGTTCACGCGCCTCTTAAAACTGTTTTTAACAATTTTTAGGCTTTAGCCCAACAAACTTAACAGCTAACTGTACACAGAAGGTTTGCCGGTCGACACCAGTTGAGGAGGAGACGTTGAGATTATGATATTCTAATTAAGACAAACGACACGACCCAGAACAGAATTATGATGTTCAGTTTAAAAGTTGCTGGATTGATCAGGATTACGGGCAATGGCGGAAACCCATTTCCTATCTCTATTAGACGACTTCTCATTCCAAAATTAAATTAAAAGGGCATGGACACCATGATTCACCTAACGTGTCTGCGAAAGGACTTGTGAGCTGTGAAACCGAAAGGAGAAGGGATAAAATTAATAAAGGATTAACTTTGTAGGATGTTCCGTAAAGAAACCTCCCTGAAATTTTTCACTTTGTTTAACACAATTGATTTTGTACGCAATCTACTGTATGCCGGTTCAGTGCAAACGTATGTCAAACTTAAGGACGATTGATGCCCTGTTGAACAAGAAATCCACTAGAATATATAGCTCAATTGCTCGAAGAAGGAAGATTACGTTAAATTTCTTTACTTGGACGCCCAATGGTTTGTATCATCACTTTGATTGGATCCGATCAGAGACCGATACCACAGACTTTAATTACGACTCTTAAAGTCATCCATTACCATTAGAGTAACACTGACTTGGACTGAGAATCTCGAAGGAGCAAGATTAGCCATTGTCTAAACTTTAAACTAAAGCACTGTCTGAAGTTGAATTGGGAAGGTAACAGTCAGATGAGATCCAACCAAAGGAGGATGTACCTAGGTTCGATCTCTCTGAAGCCCCAAACAATTTCCATGCAACGTTTAATGTATTCAAAATGCAGAGTTACAGAAAAACAATCTTAATACAACGAAAAAAATTAAAGATGGGCAATTTTAAGAGAGGTATGGGATAATGTTTTTGACACACATGATATGGTCATGGCTGAAAGTATCGATACAGATGATATTATCTGTTTTCACTTTTTAGGGTCATGATATCATGTTTAAATAATAATACTAATACTAATAATAATAGTTCTCCATTCCTTGGTGGTAAGGTGCGCATTGATTGATTGAAACTAAAATAATAGGGAAAATTATAGTGAGAGTCAGTTCAACATTTAAATTGACACGACAAGTTGGTTCAGAAACCAACAAAACTCTGATAATCGACTATGTATTTCAAATTATAAAAACCCCTGTCATGTCATTGGAGGCTTATGTGGTTGTTGCCAACATGAGATTCTTAATCCATGTTAGACACAGCATGGATTATTTGAAAATAAGAATAGGGTTCACTTTCTCTCCCACTCCCTTTGTCTTTCGATCTCCTTCCCACTCTTCACTCTTACAGTTGTATTTCCCTATTCAATGATTGTGTGATTTGAGAAAAGGGTTTTACATTATCGCTGTCAATCTATCGTTTGTGTGATTTGAGAAAAGGGTTTTACATTATCGCTGTCAATCTATCGTTCTCCCTCAATCTCTCTTATTTTGTTTCTTGTTTAATCTCTCATTCTCCCTCCTTCTCTCTCTTGGTCAATCTCTCCTTCTCCCTCACTCTCTCTCTCTCTCAGTCGATCTCTCYTTCCTCAATCTCTATCATCATTCTCTCTCAATTTCTTTCCCGCTYCCTCTTTAGTTCTTTTTTTATTATTTTTCTTACGAACTTATATGGTACTAAGTAGATCGTATTAAAGAACATAAGACCAACTTGGTATGGTTCCAACTCCCTCAGCCCAATTTGATAAAAATTCATAAGAAGCTCTTGGCTATGAAATTTACACCAACTTGATAGAAATTTATAATTTGAATATGCAAGTTGTTGGTCCCTTGACTAACTTATAACTTGTACAGTTTGATTAGTACTACATAAGTTTCTGTGAAAATTAAAAAAAAAAAACGAGGGAGGGAGTGGGAGAAAGACTAAGGGAGAATGATAGAGATTGAAGGAAAATGAGAGAGACAAATTTTGATTTGGCTGTAGACCAAAGTTGAGACAGTGGGAGGTCAAGAGATGACTATGAGAGCGAGAGATAGTGGGAGCGAGAATGAGAGGGAGAGGGAGTGGGTGAGACAAAGGGAGCGGGAGATCGAGATATAGATGTCTTAATTTTGGTATAAATTTTTTAGTGTGCCCAACATGGATTAAGAGTGCTATGTTGGCAACAACCACATAAGCCTCCAATGACATAGTAGGGGTTTTATAATTTGAAATGTACAACCGGCTATCAGAGTTTTGTTGCTTTCTAAACCAACCTAGAGCGTAAATTTAAATATGCAGCCMTCTCTGGCTATAATTTTCCCAAAATAATAAGTATTGATGCTTTTTTATGCTAGTTTCAGAATTTTTCAATATCAATAAGCACTCTTTTATGACGTACAATGGTACAAATTTGAGCATTGAAGAAAGGTTTCAGAATGTTATTTTTTATGGTAAATTACAAATAYGTACCGTTTTATTTGGGGGTAGTGGCAGATAGGTATCCTGAACTTACAGTTGCAATACTTGAGTACCCTGAACTTTCAAAAATAGACACTTGGGACCATCTGTTAGTATTCCGTCAATTAAAAATTGCATAATATCAAAAATACTCTTCTCATTAATTTCTGAAATCATTCTTAGGTAACCGAACATCTCCCCATGATGACATTTTCACATGGACAACAAGTAACATATTCAAATTTTCCAACGACAGCATTCTTTGGTGATGATTTTACTTCGTAGAATGATCACAAAAATACACGAGAAGAGTATTTTTGACATTAYKTAATGTTTAGCTGATGGAATACTAAGGGATGGACCCAGTGTCTATTTCTGAGAGTTCAAGGTACTCAAGTGTTGCAATTGAATACCTATCTGTCACTACCCCCAAAGTACAGGGTACCTATGAYCTATCTTTAATTTACCTTTTGGGGTGTTATGGATCGGTCTCCAAGCCCCGTTTGGCATCGTTGTTCCCGCAGGATCATGTTTGGTTCGAAAACATTACAAAGAACACTATGCTTCTATTCTGGAATATGACTTCAAAATCGTGTCATCATTTCTCTAGAACACCGATTGAGAAATGTGGTGTTTCCACGACGTCATTTCAAGTTAACGAACACATTACTGCCTACTTTTTTCCTTTAGGCTGCGTTTAATTGCGGTGGAAAAATCCTTACTGAAAAAGTCAATCAATTGAAAAGTCAGTCCATTGGTTTAAAAGTCAGTGAATCGATGTATCATTTACATTAATTTACGATGAAAAAAATAACCGAAAGAGTGATTTATATCGATTTTCGATGTAAACCTTTCATTGGAAACAAACAGCTGAAAAAGTAGACCAGGTGTAGAATTTTACACTGGTCTGATTTTACAATGAAAACAAACGCATAAACCAATGATGGAGCTTTGCATCGATTCGCATTTACACTACACTCAAACGCAGTCTTTTTTTTTTTTTTGCTGCAACTGTTGCTCAATTGATGGTTCTTGAAGAATAGATTGCCGAATGGCTCAATCCTTTAATCAACTATAATTGAATCCTTATCTAAGAGTCTAAGACATTTGGAGTTTTCACTCTTTATTTTGTTAATATTACATCAACCAAAAAAGTTAAAAGAGGGAGAGAATTATGTCTCCGGGTAATTCACATTATGAACCGAAGATTTCAAAAGCCATATTAGATTACACCAAAGCTGGGGGCGCTAATAGTGAACTCCTAAAATGTTGACCAACCAACCAATTGATCATTAGTTTAACGAAGGACAACTATCGATGTCACAACTGACAAGTCGTAACATAAGAGGCAGTCGGCACAGATACAACTCCCAGTCACATTGACCATTAACAGAACAATCTTCTGTTTATTGACTCTCTCCGATGATAATATAAAAAGAATAAGCAAATCTGTGTTGTTTGAATGCTTCCAACTACAAAGTTCTCTCAGAGTGAAAGGTAAAAAAAGGACCAAAAATCAACTAATAACATTTTCATATAAAAAGCTTTCCATTGAGATCCAMTGTTGGTTTCACTCTAAATCATTCCTCAATTCCAACACCAACAGCAAAGTGCCCCACGTTCCTACCCTGCAACCAAAACATAAAGCAATTGGTATACTATTCCAACATTACACCATTATTTGGATGGTTTTAGGATCATTTGAACAGGCTAATTTTCAGGGAGATATATATCTTGGGTCACATCAAACAGTTAAAATAACCTGCCACACATCACATACGTTGAAAGGTGATGGCAACAAGGATAAAAGATAGTATTAAACTATTAATCATGCAAAACTGGTTGATCTGAAATTACCTGAGATATCATTCGCTGCTTGTTCAATAATTGGGTTCTTGCCTTGTTGACGATAGAATTTGGGGATTTGTACAACCTCTGCAAAGATTGCATATAAGCCAAAAGATAAGAAYCGCTATTTTGGAGGAAATAAGAGAGAACCGTTGAAGGTCCTCATCAAAAGAAGAAAAAGAATTAACAGATTAATTCTAACCAATAAAAGAAATAAATAAACTCTTGTAGTTATACAAGCTGTGTATTGAATTATTTTATTTGACCTTCCCATGTAAATTCTTCTAATAGATGGGGAAGAAAAACATTCCAAGTAAAAACTCCAGCTCTTGTACTAGCAGAAACTCGATCAAGTCATTTAAAATGGAAATTGCAAAGTCAACTGCCTCATGTGCTTCATAATACCTTACCGACCAAACCATGCAATAAAAATGTTGAATATTACATGAAATTAGAAGAGCATTACACAGTGATATTGATTCCATCCACGCTTCATATCAAAAATGGTACCTTTTTCTTCTACGAAACAATTCATTGCTAAAAATTATTGAGGTGACAGTTGAATAGCCTCGGTGACAGAAGAGACACTAACATTACACCGTCACTGTAATGGTTTCTATTAACTGGAACAGCTACATGTTAAGAGCTAGTTTGAACAGGATTCCCAGCTATCTGGGGTCATGGGAGGAGTTGACTGGATACAGACCAAACTTTTGGCATGTTTGCACAAAGTGGACACTCTCAGATTTGAATCCATGTCTCACACTTGTCAGCCTGAGATTACACTAAGCAGTGGCTCCTTGAACAGGATAATATCAAGCATATAACTGAATAAAATGGCACTAAAAAACAGACAATAATGAATGCTTCCCTGGAATTTTGATTGTAGTTTGAACAACCAAATATCTCCAATTATACACCTAGCAAGTCCAATTGTTTGAAAGAATCTGCCTCTAAAGTGAGTTGTAACAGTGGATTTAGGTGTGAAACCAAGTGGGAACGAATTAATGCAAACCACTTTACTAGTTTACTTTATTAAATGATTTAAGGCAAACTACTTACATAAAAGACAGGTGATTCCTCCTAAGACTGTAGGAGATAAATGGGGATAGGTGAGTAAAGAACTAAAGATTACTGATAAGTGATTTCCTATGATCTTAAATAAAACAGAGAATTTCTATTTTTAAAACATTAAAATAAATTCAAAACAAAACGTTTGTATATGTGATGATTCATGCATGCATGGTCCTAGGCGCAGCCCTTTCAAAAGGCACACACCTGGTTCGCCCAGGCGTGCACCTTTTGAAAATTCAACACTTTTTTTCTATTTTTGAACCTAACGGCTGGGGTGTGGCACAAAGGTGGCTCGTAGAATCAGGAACGTAATATGTTTTACATCACATTAGCTAATCAAAGTAATGCAATTGAGGAAAAAATGAGATTGTGGATTTTACATGCTTGAAAATGTTTTATATGTTTGATTTTTCTTATAAATTCTCATTTGAATATGCTTTACATGTTATGTTTATGTATTTTAATTTTTGATAATAGGTTTTTTAAAACATTTATTTTAAAATTTAAGTTTATATTTTTTTATTAATATTATGTTTAATATTTTTTTTTATTTTTTATTTTTGCATTTTTTGGCTTTTTTTTTTGTTTTTCTGACATTTTTCAACTTTTTAGCATTTTTTGTATTTTTGTGCCTTGATTAAAAAATGTGCGCGCCTCGCCTTGCACCTCAGGCTCAAATTGGCCACTGTGCCTTGCGCTTTTAAAACACTGGCATGGTGCAAACTCCATCAGAGCCCATAAGTGAAGATTGCTTATTGCTAACATTTGTATGTGGTGTGGATTCTTATTATTTACTGATTAAAAAACAAGAATTTTGTATCCTTAAATTAGGGTGTGGATTCTTCTTAAGTTCTTTTATTCCCTGATATTGTTTTTTTTATTCCCTTATATTGGTGTTTTCCTAGCATGAAAGGAATACTACCATTGTTTTCGAAGCTCAACTAGTCAATGATTAATCATTGCCTCACCACAATGTGATTCCTAAGAAGAAACCCCAGAGTCAAACGATAAGCTCTTCGGGCCGCTTTTCATTGTTTCATGCAGTTTCAGGTCAATCCTTTTTTTTTCATTTTCCCCATTTTTTGATAATTAACCCTTTTATTTAATTTTCTCCATTCTTCTTCTTGCGTCCTCCTCTCTTTTGTTTCCAGTGAAAGTTAACTAGACCAAATTTGTAATATAATTATAATAACTAGTTATAGAAAATTCCTTAATCAATTAAAATTAATGACCCATTGCAAGTCTGAACTCACAGTGAGGTAGGCAATCATTAAGCAACTTACAATTCTGCATACAATTCTAGAAGTGCAAAAAATTGCTAGTTCTTCCACATGTAACTAGAATATGGATTGTATTATGAAAAATCCCAGCCCTTTATCAAAATCAACTGAAGGGACATAGAAAAGTTGGTCTCTTATTTATTCCATTCCTATACACTAGTAGAGTTGCATAAAAAGGTAATACCAGTAAAGATTCTTTTACATAAACATGGTATCTTATGTTTTTTTTTATCAATAACAACAACTTTTATTAAGAAAAAAGATTATAGAAAAATAAAATATGAAGGGAGGGGTAAAAAACTCTTAACCCTCCCTAACATTAAAGGTCAGATTACAACAGAGCCCAAAAAAGATTTGATCTTCCCACCCCTTGTTTGGCCAAAGAGTCTGCTAGAGAATTGGCACTCCTCTTGGCCCACTGAACCTGAATTTGCATGTTTTGAGTTATCTGGTTGATTTTCCTTTTTTCATTTGAGAACTTCCACAGACTAGAATCTTCCYTCTGCAGCCAGCTAACGGTCAGCCTAGAGTCTCCTTCCACCAACAATTTTCTGATTTTCAACATGGTATCTTATGTTCATTGATAGTAAGTAAATGTTTGTTTATTTGTTTGCTTATTACACAATGAGTTTGTTTATCCTAGTCATCATTTATACATGGAAAGGCCACAAAAAGCAAAAACATACCATTGCCAGGAATGTTTCAAGACATGGATAAGTAACAGAAAAGAACAATGAGCATAAAGATGGCATACATCCAGTTCTAAAAACTGGAAAGCAAAAAAGAATAATATTGATTTTACAAAATTAATGCTCAGAAATCATCAGATGTATCCCAAATCCAAACATTCAGAAAACAATAGCAAATATCAATATTTATTTAACGATCAAAATCTTGGTTAAGAATATATAAACACCTGAAGCATGATAAATAAAAGCAGCATAAACATATTCAAACCATAAATACACAACGAAAACAGAATCCAACCTTTTCACTGTTTGACATAATATGTTCAGCTCCTACATGTTTTCCCCTTGGAGTGAATTCAAAGACATCCTGGAGAAATTCATTTTCCTGTTTAAACAATATAATTGGTAAAATATAGAAGTAAAGAAAGACAGTAGCATATTAACTCAAGAAATTACAAATACTTGGAAAAGAAAACTGACCAGCATGTGCTTGGTAAATCCACCTCCCAAAAAATGCTTCAGAAAGTTCAACTGTTGGAAATAGAAATTAAAGAATTTTAGAAAACCTCTGGAACTTTCCAGCCAAATTTAAATGATATTAGAAGAGCACAATTGTAGGAAAAATTATACCTGTATCAACTGAGACCATGTTGAAGTGTTTAGTAGATCTCCTCCTATCTTCATTGAGGTTTCTGGACAGTAGCCATCCTGAAATTGATTCAAATTCTGGATCACAGCTCTGTTCGACATGATTAATAATATGTGATTATTTCAACAAACAACACCTCAAGAAAATCAGTGATATCCTTAAACAAGTTCCTCTGGCTGTTGAGATCTTTCTTGCCTAAACCTTTACCACCTGCCTCCACAGAAAGGTTTCTCACTTGATTTAAGATTTTACCCCTCAATCCTTGTATATATGCACATCCTTCCCGAGAATTATTCCCTTCGTGAACTGAACTTTGACTAGAAACCTTAGCTTCACTAGAGAACTTCTCTAGTTGTCCAATCTCAAAAATAAGAGCTATTGCTTCACCAGATGCAATGCGAATTGACCGATCATCCTTATCAAGTAGACCTGAAAAATGAGCAATTGAACTGCACCAGATTGCAAAAATCATGAGTAATAACTAAAGATTCACATCAAACAATAAAGATGTGTTATTGAAGTCGAAATTGAACTCACTCTTGCCAGATTTTTGAATTAACTCTCCATCCACTAATGGTTGTAAGAAGAAATGACCAAGCAGATATTGCAGTTGTTAATACAGGCACTGTAGGTTTGGACGCATTCACCTAAGAAGTAAAAGACAACAAAATCAGTTTCAAATTGAAATAAGGAGGACAAAATATAAATTTGCAATTTCAAATAAAATGAAAAAAAACTAAAACACCAGTGGTGTAAGCCTGTCAGTTAATAGGACCAAAATCATTATACTGCTATCAAGTATATGATCAGAGGCTTTCAGTAATAAAATTATGGTGCATTTTTACGTACATTAGGACCTGACTTTGGATAAATAAACTGCCACATAATTTGCATTGATCTTTCAATCTCCTCTGGAACATTTCCGCCAACAAAAGTGATAACAGCCAAACAGTCCAGTATCTAACAAATTCATATAATCCAAAAAACCAACAGATTGTTTATCAGATTTTTTCTGCAGCCGAAATCTATGGATTTCAAAATATACAAATTTTCAAAGTCATACTTACAGATGATATCTTCGATGGATCAGATCCAGATTTAAGAGCTTGAGAAAGGGGAGGAATTGAATCTTCCAAGATTTCGTGTGCTGCTGCACTATTGCCACAACCAACTGTGATAGCCAGCAATCCTACAGAGCAGAATATGAAAATGATGGTTACAAACTGAAAAATGATGAAAAAACAAATGCCACAAAAAAAAAGAGTACTGCACTAACCAATAACACGACAAGCTAAGGATATCTCTTTGCTAGACCCCTTTTTTATGGAATTGAGGCACTGGTGCAGTAAAGTAATGCAGCTGCAAGAAATTGTCATAGAAGTAGCAGAAACATAAGAATGTCGTGTAACTTAGCAGAGTTAATTTGGCCATGGGGGTAAATTTGCAATACATTACAAGTCCATATACAGACACATAAATACTAGCATGCATATGTATCTGCCTGTGCATATCCATGTGTTAATATGGATTGTTGCATGCATGCTGTTTACCATAGATAAAGTCAGTTATAGAAGGGTCCTACAGACTTGACATGGAAAACTCTGAAAGATTTAAAATCAATGGTTACTCGCTTCAAGAATTGAGAATACAATAAATAACATTCACTTACTTCTTTTCAACGAATTGATGCTGCAACTTATTGGTAAAAGCATCGATAATAAACAATAAAGCCGATTCTCGAGTGGAACCCCTTTGTCAAGAAAAAAGGGAAAAAAAATCAATTCCAGCAGGGGACACAAAGCATTAACAAATAATTCAATAAGCAAACAGGTTTAAACGGTAATAAACATTAAAACAGTAAAGTATACACCTTTTTTCAGACAATTTATCAAGACATTGTTCCAATCCTGAGTCGCTCAGTTTATCAGACTCCTGCGCCTGCGAGTCATAAGTTGTTGTCGACGAAGAACTCAAAGTGTCATCGTCGTCACTTTCAAACAATAATGCGGTTTTACGTTGACTACTACCTGCATGGACAGAAAACGAAGAACAGATGAAATTGAAACATGAAAACCAACTGACAACGAACTCATAAATTTGCCAAAGTTAGTTATTGGTAATTCAAAAGGAACATGATATAAACACAATAAATATCAAAAGAAACGGTTTAAACAAAACTAGGACACAAAAATTCTGTTATTCAAGTTGCAAGATTAATCACAAGGATACGAATCTGCGTTTTCTTATTTGTCTTTCTTATAAGACGGAACCCTAAATTTTGACATTACCGGTGGAGAAAAATACGAACTCACAAAAACCAAATCAGAAATGGTATAATAAGAAAGGGAAAAAACACATATCAGAGAAAAATTAGAGATTTCACTTACGTTTACCCATCGTCGTCGTGTGTTAGAAACAAGGTTGCTGAGATTGAGGAATATCACAATGAAGAAAATAAGCTCTTAGGTAGAAAGTACTGAAGAACAACAGAATTCGCAGGAAAGAAAACGGATCGATGTCTATATTAGCAGAGAAAGGTGCATCCATCGGAGATTTTAAGAAATTTTTCTTCAAAGATGAAGTGAGAGAAAAGGGAAATCAGAGTCGAGCGTGACGAGAGATGTAGGTTTTCTGGCCTTTAGGGCAACTTCCAACTTCCAGCCCTCTTTGTGAATAAATTAGAAATATCAACGTCTGGTCGTCTTTCAAGCGCAAAATTGACCATAAAATTGAACGGACGGTCCAGATTTCATGTGCCCTCTTCGGACTGGATATACAAACCTCAGCCAATGCAAGTGGTTATCTGCTTTCCTTGTTTACTTTTGTCTTTTCCCGATTTTTACTTGATAGTTCCCGTTTTTCCACCCTTTCCAAGTTAACGCCAACGGGCCAACGGTGTCTGAAAATCCGAATTCGAATCGGAGATTGACAATTTCAAATAGAAGTGAAGAGGCGAGTCGAGGCGGTTTCTCAAATTAAAAACTTAAAAATCATAAAAAAATAAATAATTGAAGTTTTATATAATTATTTRTCATTTGAGGTATCAATGATTCAATAATTGTTGATTGTTCAAATCTTTAGATTATTTATATAAACTATGAATTAGATATTTTCAAGCTTGTTTAATAATTGTTGATTGTTCAAATTTTTCGAAAGTWTTAGACAAATCTTGAAATAAATTAAATTCATTTCTATGGCTTTCATGATAAAATTTCATTGACGGTTGTAACAAGAGCTCATCATGGAAGATGATAAAACGGATTCGGGTTCAATATATATTATGAATTTATAATAACATGGTAATATCTATCCAAGCATCTCATCAGTTATCAATTATTAGACCTATTCATGGGTTGGATTTGGGCTTGGCTTTTGCCAAAATTTAAATGAGCCCGGCCTGAAGTCCGATCCCAACACAATATAAGTCAGGCCCAAAGCTCAGCCTGTGAACAAATCTATCAATTATCACAACATTTACTATTCAAAAGTGAAATTAAAAGAAAGTAGCACACTAACACCACTTCCCACAAATCTGCTGCCCGACCTAGCTGATAGTTTGAGACAAAAAAAAAAAGGAAAAAGTGAAAAGGAGGAGGAGGAGGAGGAGGAGGAGAACCTGCACTCAAGATTCAAGAAGGAGGAGGAGGACATGTACTTAGTCGCACGATTTGATTTCGTCTAATATTCTTGTCTTCTTGAATCTTGAGTTTGGCCTGAGAAGTAGAATAAAGAAGATATAATAGAGAACAGTAGAAGAGAAACGAGTTCAGTCTTCTTGAGTTCGATTGAAAAACGAAGACAAAAAAAAAAGATTTTGGTCGCTGGAAATCCTACATTTTGGGGTTTTTACTTTTTCCAAAATTACCCATACTAAAATCCAATTTTCCCCACCCAAAACCCCTTTAACTTAAGGCTACTGCCTTATGTAAATTGAGGCAAAAGGACAAAGGCATATGCCCCACTAAACTAAGGCTTACGCCCCTTGCTCTGAGATTGAGGCTACTAAGGCCAAGTGAAATTTGGCCGCCTTGCCTTGAGGGGTACGCCTCTCACCTCGCCTTAGTCGCCTTTTAAAACCATGATCCAATTACCAAATCTGTAACTCGCTTTTATAATATCATGAATTACAAGTAACCTTTGTGTATTTAGGAGTTGTTAACTCTTAGTTCCTCAAACTTTGCTTTGTGTAAAATACCCTTTAAATTTCTAAGTTCTAACACTCTGCTCGCTAAGCCGTTAATAGGTTTGATTATAGATGTAATGGAACTCGACTTTAGTTAGAGCATGGCCCGTTCGAACAGMCTTTATGGCCTTGCATTGGGAATATCTCCCCAAAAAACAAAGTGCATAGGTACGGAGGTATTCCAAATGCAAGGTTGTAAAGGTTGTTCGAATGGGCCTTCAATTGATTGAAGCTGATCTCGATGTTATGGGCTAGGCCACCTATGTGCTGTAGTACTGAGATATGCCAAGTATAAGTTCGACCTCGTTCAGTGCAAACGCCTGTTCAAAAAATCTTTACAGCTTTGCATTGGGAATATCTCTCTACTTGTGTGCTTTATTTCATGGGGAGATATTCCCAATGCAAGATTGCAAGAGATTGTTCAAACGGTGTGAGCACCAACTTGCATTGACCGAAGTCGAACTCAGTCCATGCTGGATTTATGGATTCAGACCAACGGTTAGCATGGCATGGCCCATAAAATTGGCCCAAGCTGTCATAGCCCGGTTRGCAGCTCAACATGGCATGCTCCGGATTGGGCACACACGCCTACAAGAATGTAATAATTGGGGGTTATAACAACTTTAGGGGTTTTAAATTGATTGAACGACTCCTCACCAGCTATAAACAATTAATTTTTTTTTTTTTGAAGGGGGCACTTATGTATTTAGTCTTGGGGCAAAAAAATATAATAAATCTTATTAAAAAAAATGATCTACTTATTTTTCATTGTTTTATATTTTACATAATACAATTGCCAATTATATCAAAGGCTTTAACAAYATTAAAGATGCCATTTTATAAACATGAAGATTATCATTAATTCACTGCCATAAGTTTTGCCTAATAATATAGATTCAATGTACACACAACAATATTTGGGGCATTTTATATCCATCATTAACATGGATGATGATGATGTAGTCTGGGGTTGTATTGGGCAAACAGAGCTCAAAATAGTTAAGTAGATCAGGTCAGGTTAATGTTAGGGCTATATATGTATTTTATGTATGTATCAGTAATTATAAATTTAAAGAGTAAAGATTTTTTAGTATCAGTACTTTGAAAACAAATGGGATCATCTTAAGTCAAAGAAACGAGAACATCATCATTGATTAAAATTAAAAAGAAATTGGACAAACTTGAATTGAAGCAAACACACATGCTATTATGAGGATGGACTATGGCTGGGTTGGGAGTCCAAAGATTAGGGCTAGCTTCAATTTACAGCAGGCTTACCGTAATTTAGAAAATCTTAGGTGGGTGTTTTGTTACAGTTAAAAAGTCCTGGTAGGGTGTCTTATAAAACATGTGGAAGAGAAAGTAACAGAGTATTCGCTTGGGATTCTCTGGCTCATTTTTGTTCGTAGTTGGGGGTTTGAACCCTAATTGGTATATGCCACAAAGGTGCGGCTACCTTACCTATTAGTTGCAAGGTACAAAGCATATGCCGCAGCACCTTGGAATCAAACTCATTGGGTTGACAAACTTCACCAATGACCCAATGAAATCACTGTTGGGGCCACCCTGAGCAGTCAGTGAGATATGATAACTAATCAATTAGTATTAGTAAATTGACGAAAAATCTATGATACGAGAAAGACATAATATTGATCAATCAAAATTCATCTATAATTTTGATAAATAAGATCTGATTGACTATCATGTTTATGTTTATGGTACTAATTGATTGGTCAAAAATTTTTTAGATATCATAGTCGAATCCATGAATTGATAACATACAAAAATCAACCAATATATCGGTCCAAATGTAAAAATCACGTATCGGCCAATAATTTCCCGGTTGCAAACTCTTCCGGCATTTGTTGGTCGGTCCATACTCTATACTCTATACCAAGTTAGTTATAAACATATTTAAAGTCTAAATTTACTCTGGCATCTTTTCATTGCCTTCTCCCTGTCGGTTGCCATAAACGTGATTCTTACCGATTCTTTTTCTTTTAATAACAGAAGAAAAATGGTGTGATAGCGTCTTCGTGATTGTGTCGTCGTCATCATATTATTAAATCTTGGGCCCTATGAATAAATTAAACTATATAAAAAATATAAATAAGAGAAATTTTGAATAATATTTGTGAAAGCAATTAAGTCAGCTTAGCTAAAATTGTGCAACAAGTTAGTTTTGTTCGTCTGTTTTAAAAAAAATGGAAGATGGCCAAATTTTATCATAGGAAGGAATTTAGGAATAGCGATATAGATCATAAAATGATAAAAGGTGGATTGAGATGGTTTGGTTATGTATATATCATATACAATACCTTTTCAAAAAAGTAAAGTTGGAGGGACTAAAAAAAACTAAGGGCAAATAAAAAAGGAACTTGTGTGGATGTGATAATAACTTATTTAAACAATCAAAATTTATCTACGGAGATAGTATTTTATAAAACAGAATGACAAAATATAATTCATATGCTGACGACTCCCATATGGTTGAGTCAACGTTGTAAGGTCAACTATGTTATACAGAGCAGAGTGTTGGGCAGTCAAAAAACAATATATTCAAAAAATGAATGTAATAAAAATATAAATACTAAGATGAATGAATGTAAAAATTAGAAAAGATAAGATCAGAAATGAAATCATTTGTAGAAACCTAGAAGTACTTTTAATAAGTGATAAAATGTCACCTAGAAGTAATTTGTTATAAGTGGAATGGACTAGAAGAGTTAGGGGTAGATGAAAAAGGATAGAGATGAAAGTATTAAGAGATTATTTAAGCACTAATAATTTAATAGTGGGTATGACTTGAAATAAAATGGATTTGATGAAACAAGATTTATGTAGCCGACCCCATATAATTGGAATAAGGCATGAATGGTGATGATTAGTGTTTTTAAGACTTTGATCAGACATAAAACCATATTGATTACCAGGTCACAAGTCAATTTGTTTAACCAAAAATTACATGAAAATATATAATATATTTTGTAAATAAAAATAGGCTTGTAAGTGGCGACTAGATGGTTAAAGTAATGTTTTTTTTTTTTATATAAATGACCAGGTTCAAATCTTCTAGTTTGCATTTTTTTTTTCAAAAATAAACATGAATTTAATTAGTATATGTATTAAATAAGCAAAAGTAAGCACAAAAAACAATATCGGTTGGCTAATAAATACAATTAAGAGAGCCTAAATTTCATTGTCTCTAACACCATTTTAAAATTTGTAGTTATTTAATGCACCTAACAGGTTGTGAACCCAATTGGTTTTCACTGTTTATGCCAGGTTTTGACTAGTGATGGTCAAATTTTATATACAAAACAATCTTAAAATCCTTATGTAGAAATTAAAAATTTTATGGGCATCTAAATGGGCCCTACTACCCATAAACTCATATTTTCCCATGGGGCCTTCCCTTCTTTTTTGACCATGTCCCATACTCTCAAATATATATGTGCATGGGCCTTAACACTTGGTCTTTGCTTTTGCAAATCCATT